GAGTGCTTGGACTAGGTGAGAGCTTCGGAGAGGCATTGATATAGTTCGTTTTCGCTTTAGTTTTTAGCGCTGTTTACTTCTGATTGATATTCTAGCATTGGCGGCAGTAATGAATTCGTCTGTAGACGGTTCAGTTTAAGCTGACTCGGTCACTGTCGGCTGTAGCTACAATCGTGTAGCTACAAACAGGGACGTGAGCTGCGAGCGCCCGCGAACAGCAGGGTAGGCACGCCCGCAGTACACGCACGCGAGGCAAGGCAATATGTTGCCTACCGATCAGGCGCTATCAGAGCTTGCGGCTGTGCGATGCTCGATAAAATCGAAACAATGTCGATATTTTACATTTCTGCAATTCGGGAACTATATATGGCTAATATCGAACTATCGATCGAAAAATACCGAAAGTTTGGGATTTTAGGTATTTCGAAGAATTTGTTTCGACGGCGAGCTTTTGTCTTCGACATGCGATGGAGCTGCTGGCATTGCTGGCATGCCATGGTTTCGCGCGCTGCGTTTAAAGTGCAAGTTGTACTTCTACTACTTTTTGCTATTTTCTCGGTTGTTGGTCTTTCGACATGTTGATATTTTCGATAGTTTGATACGATATCGATAACCGATACCGAAAAAGTTTTGATATTTTTAAAAATATCGAAGTTCGATGCAGAAATTTCCGGCCACGCTCTGTCGGCGAGGACTTTTGCATGTGAAGGTACGGCCGGGTTCGGCAGCACAAGAAGGAGCGTACCTCTACGAGTTGGTCCAGGGCTGGTAGCAGCCGGTCGGTGGACATGGGGCTGAGCGGGTTGGGGCTGGGCCCCGGGCTCGGGCTGGCGCCCCTGCTGCCGCCCAGGCTCCCGCCCAGGCTGCCGCCGAGGCTGAGGCTGCCGCGGCCGCCGCCCAGCCCCAGCTCGTCGCCGCTGGCTGAGCACGCAGAGCCGGGCGTCTGCAAGCCGGCGGCGCCCCCGGCCGCGCCGCCCCCCAGCGGCCCCAGGCTGGCGGGCGGCGCCGGCGTTCCTCCCTGACCGTGTCCGGGACCCACGCCGTCGCGCAGCTGCTGTCGCCGCAGTCTCTGCTCTCTCTCCCGCTCGAAGCGTCTCATGCCGAAGCCCATGCTCTTGGTGGACGACGCGCTGCTGTGCACCGAGGCCAAGCTCTGCCGCCGCGACCCTGCACGATCCGGGAAAAAAGTTAAAAAAAATGTAAGTGGCGATGTAAAGCGTAGACGTATCGGGCACTAAACTACCACACTACTATGGCCTACTCTAATCCTATGCCCTACATGCCTATTCCACGTACACGCGCGCGCACACCGTAGCATTTCACTGGAATAACTAACGCGACAGACCAAGCCATGTTACAAACTTTGTAGTAGTAGTAATTAGTTTTTCCAGCGTTGAGGCAATATGCGTTAACACCCATGTAAACTAAGTAAAGCGGGGTGGTAGGCTTGCCCTTTAAAAAATCATATATTTTCCAACGGCACACATTTAAAATAAAATAAATAAAATACTGAAGCGCAAATAACCATGACCTCGCTGTGCCCGGGCCCACCCACCCGCCCCAACCACTGCTTGAGCCCTTATTGTCTGTGGTGCTTCCAGCCACCACCAGCGAGGCCCCCGCTCGCCTCGACCTGTCAAAGACATAATTAAGTACGGGCGACCTTTCTGCTGAAAGAACCGCCCCACTCTGTCAAAGGACGCGGCGGGATGGGGAAGGAGGAAATGCAGAGGTTGGAGAGGGGGGGGAGGGACTGCACACAGAGACTCCATTCTGATGGTAAGGGGAAAAGGGTGACCCAACGACCCGCGACCCTTTCCAAGGAATACCTTTGCAGAAAAAGCTCCGGCTCTGTTTTAGTTTTTTTAAGGTAGAAAATCATATCTCTACCTCTACTAAGACTAGTAATCTAACTAATTGAAGAACTAACTGACTACTAGGATGTACAGAAAGTCTAGGAGGACATGCACCAAAAAAAAAATTCCTAAGAGAGGTAAAGGTTTTTGTTTTGGGGAGACCAGGTCTAGTCAGTCTGTCAGGAGGGGAGGACAGAGGGCTGACTCCGCACGGCCCTTGTGGTGTCCAGCAATCCACTTGTCGATGAACGGACATGTCACTACATGGTCTGTGGTCACATAAAGTGAGAATTCAAGAAGGAGATACGAAATCGTTCGGTAGACGGAACATAGTCAGTTAACAGACGCGACAAGAGACAAGACAGACAGGATAGATAGCACTGACAGAACGAGAAGAGAGAACAGACAGACAGACAGACAGACAGACAGACAGACAGACAGACAGGCAGACAGGCAGACAGACAGACAGACAGACAGACAGACAGACAGACAGACAGACAGACAGGAAGATCCACTCGGGTGCAGTTTTCAAACGCAGTGTGTCCCCATGGGCTCAGCCCAAAGAAAGGGGAGGCTGTTTAGCTTCATCAGGACTGACGTCCGGGGAAAAACCAGAAAAAAACAAGAGCGGGAAAGAGTGGGGGCGTCTGTGGGGAAAGATGCTGAGAGGGTGGGAGAGAGCCGAAGACAAAGATAGGCAGGGGCGGAAGGGTTAAAGAGTGCCGATAGGTTTACACACATGACGCTCAAGAAGCGCTACTAGAACAAAACACAAGGCAAGACACACGTATGATGACATGCTCATGCGCGGCGGCAGGCGACCAGGCGGCGGTGCTTGGGGTCAAGGGTCAACGGGACTGGACGGGCAGCCCAACCCCTTAATAGGAGGGCAGCAGAACACACCCCGAGCTACACACAGCCTCAAAGTTCGCACCCTCGCGCGGCCTCGAGCGTGCCACAAGATCAAGCCAGTGGCCCCCATCACTATTACACGGAGTTCGCAGAAATACCGCGCGCGTTCCCGACGTCCAATTAACTCCGAGCAAGGAGAGTCGAGTTACAGTCGTACGCGTGCCGTACACCAGCGAAGGCAATTATTTGTACTTCGATGTCCATTACGTCACTCAGAACGCGACCCAAACCCCGTATAAGACCCCCCCCCCCTTTCCCTCCCCCGTCATATTACGCGTGGATTTGACGACCCTCGGATTATTATTTTTCTCATCATCAACGACGTCGATTGTGAGACATTTTTTTCCCTCGCCGTTTCTGAATCGCCGTCATCCCCCCCCCCCTTGTGCGACATGATTATTTAGAAAGGAAATAAATGGGCGCCGTTTCTATTCCGCCGAACGGAATGAGGTCTGAGTTGTTTCGCCCACACTCTCCCTCTCCCACTTCCTCCTCCCCCCACTTCTCTTCCGCCTGGCCTGCGCGCCGGATCACGGGAGGAGGGGGAGGATGGGGGGGATTTGTAGGGGATGGGGGATGGGGTATCCATACTCCTCCCTCATTCCTATTCTCCACACGTACCGCAGCGCTGCGCCACAGCACGCTACAGTGCTACACCACGCCGGGCCTGTTCCGTAAATGATATGCGAGTTGCAGTGTGGCGAGGGGGTGGGGGGTGAGGGGTAGAACTTCTCCACTGCGCTGGCTTACACCCCCTGCGGCTGGCGGCTGCGAGGAACCGCGGCACCGGCAACGTATGATGGAATTGAGAACGCAGCACGAAAGCAGACGAGATTTCAGGTGCGCCGCTCACGTAGGAGAGGGGGGGGGGGCTGGGTGCGTAGCCGAGAGAGATGCGGGAGATACAGACTGTGCTCCGAAAATCCAACTGTAGGACAGCCAGCCAGTTTTAACAGCAAAATAAATTCATAGTAAAAAGTCTTTCACTTATAGACTGTAAGTTTCGTTTTCCAGATGAAACTTTCATTTTATTCTACA